CTCCTCCCGCTCGCCCCTCCTCCTCCCGCCTCGGCCCTCCCTCTCCCCGCCCCTCGCCCCTCCCTCCTCCCCCGCCCTCGCCCTCCCTCCTCACCCGCCCCGTCTTCCCCGCCCCCTCCCTCCTCCCCGACCCCCGTCGCTCCCCGCCCTGTCCCTCCCTCCTCCCCGCCTCGCCCTCCCTCCTCCCCGCCCTCCGCCCCTCCCTCCTCCCTGCCCTCGTCCCTCCGCTTCCTCCATGCCCTAGTCCTCCCTCCTCCCCGCCCTCGTCCCTACCCCGCCCTCGTCCCTCTCCTCCCCGCCTCGTCCCTCCCTCCTCCCCCGCCCTCGTCCTCCCCCGCCCTCGTCCCCCTCTCCCCTGCCCCTCGTTCCCGTCCCTCCTCCCGCCCTCGGTCCTCTCCTCCCCGCCCTCGTCCCTCCCTCCCCCCTCCATCGTCCCTCCCTCATCCCCGCCTCGTCCCTCCCGCCCTCGTCCCGTCCTTCCTCCCGCCCTCGTCCCTCCGCCTCCCCGCCCTCGTCCTCCCTCTCCCCGCCCTCGTCCCTCCCTCTCCCCGCCTCGTCCTCCCCTCTCCCGCCCTCGTCCCTCCTCCTCCCCGCCCCCTCCCTTCCTCCCGCCCTCGCGCCTGCCCTCCCTCCCGCCTGCATCCCCCTCCCTCCTCCCGCCTCGTCCTCGCCCGCCCTCGTCGCCTCCCTCCTCCCCGCCCTCGCTCCCTCCCTCCTCCTGCCCCGTCCCCTCGCCGCCCTCGTCCCCCATCATACCCGCGTTGATTCTATTGAAGAGATCGTCTTCAGCCAGTCGTCGTAGAGATTGAAGAGCACCATCTGCGGCTCGGTGGCCTTGAGGGATTCAAATCGCCAGCGTTCTACGACTTGAGGCATGCCTGGAAGGGCAGCTGCAGCTCGCTTCCCTTGATGACGATGTTGGGGAAGTCGAGGAGATGCACCTCTAGCGGGTCGAGCATGCCCTTACGCGTGACGATGATCTGCTTAGGCTGCTCCTCTCGACAGGGGAGAGAGGGGATGCAGCGCGGCCACCTCCTCAGCGCCGTTCTTCCACTTGGCGAGCTGCCGGGAGATGAGAGGCGAGAACGTTGTTAGTGTTGCTGTCGTTGTCGTTGTTGTTGTTGTTGTCCTTGTTCTTGTTGTTGTTATTAGTATATCTATTATTTTTTTTATTTTTTTCTATTATTACTACTATCATTACTATCAACTATTTCTCAGATATATATATATAGTACTATAGCTAGTTATAATAATATATTATATAGCCGGACCCCACCCCCCCCCGCCGCGCGCCGGTGCGCGTCGTTGGTCACCTGTCCGAGAGACGCTTCTGTCCGCCCACACTGAACGTGTGAATGATCTTGAAGGAACAGCTGTCCCGTGCCGCGGGTTGGAAGCATGAAGATCGCACCCGTTGATCGGCTTCGTCGTCAGGTTACCTTGAGAAACGTCTGCGAAAAACACACCGCGACTGCCTGCATGAACGTCGAAATCGAAACGCGATTACGTTGTCTTGACTGCCCGTCCAATTAAGAAAACAAATTCCTCATCGAATTGTTTATGAGCTCTGTAATCCGTCACTGTATTGTTAGGCGGTAGTATTAGTCGGGTATTGGTAATGGTTTGTTCATGGTTGGCGAATCCATCTGATCACGTCATGTTTGTAAATATCATATTTATCATCATGTCCTTGTAATGTCATACGGTATATAAGGTTGTCTAAATCGTAAGTCTGTAATGGTATTATAACTGTCATCGTTCATGTCAGTATTATAATGTAATAGTTATATCGAGTCGTGTAATCGTGAGGATTCGTGTGTGCTGTAATCGTCAGATCAAGATCAAGTATTGTAAATATCATTCCACCGCATCGTGTCTTTGGAACAAAGCAATATATACTGTACACTATGAGTGCCAATGGCTGACTTCGATGACACGCAAGTCCTTTCGCCAGTACCGTGCTTTATATTAACCAAAGTTAGCAACGTTTATTCCCCACTGTTATGATTATCCTCGTTTAGCGCAAAAAAAACTCTGATGCATCTTTGAATCTGTGTATGACTTTCATATGGAGAATTCTTCTGGTAGCACAGTACCTGGTATGAATACAGTTAGCTGAATGTCTTCTATTCCGCGCACCACTCCAAACTGCCCCGCAACCCCTCTCATAGCTTACCGTCACCCATCCACCGAACCACCGACACCCATACTACTACCTACTCATTCCTCAGATTACCTACCCACCACCGCGACACCCATACGTACTACGCTTACTCATCCACCCTTACACTACCTCACCACCGGACACCCATACTACTCCTACTCTCCTCACTTGTACTACCCACACCGAACACCCATTACTACACCTACTTCATCCTACCCTTACCGTACCCACCACCGGACACCCATACTACTACCTACTCAATCCACGCCTTAACCTACCCCACCACCGGACACCCATACTACTACCTACTCATCACACCTCTTACTAGCCCCCAACCAGTCCCACTATTCCTGCATGCGCACCCCTCTCCCTGTATACTTTGTCCTACCCCTCCTCATTACCCCCCTCTCTCCCCGTCACCCGTCTCCCCCGCGCCTCTCCCCCTGGCGCCTCTACCTTGTGAATGGGTGACGCGGTACGACGTCTCGTGTCGTCGACGAACTAGATGATCTGGTTCGAGAAGCAGCTCTCGTAGTTGCGATGACAGAGTAGGGGCTCGGTCGGCATCGGACGAGTTACAGCTGCAGGCCCTTGCGTATGCCTCGCTGCCAGACTACAGCGGCCGGGTTCGCCTTCATGACTTGGCCATCCGCCTGCTGCGAATGACGGCTTGCTCCCGGGAAGCCACGTTACCGATGCGCTGCAAGAGGAGAAGGGCGAGTGTTAGAATGGTGAGAGAGAGGTGGAAAGTGTTAGAGAGGTGTGAGAGCAGACGGTGGACAGTGTTTAGAGAGGGCGTGAGAGAGAGGTGGCAAGCTGTTTTAGAGAGGGTGTCGAGAAGAGAGGTGGAAGTGTATTACGAGAGGCGTGCTGAGAGAGCAGCGTGGAAGTGTTACGAGAGTGTTGTGAGAGAGAGGTGGAAGTGTTTAGAGAGGTCGAGAGAGAGGTTGGAAGTGTTAGAGAGGGTGAGAGAAGCCAGGTGGAAAGTGTTAGAGACGGGTGAGAGAGAGGTGGGAAGATGTTAGGAGAGGTGAGAGAGAGGTGGAAGTGTTCGAGAGAGGGTGCAGAGAGATGAGTTGGAAGTGTTAGGGAGAGGTGAGAGAGAGGTGGAAGCTGTCTAGAGAGGTGAGAGAGAGGTGGAAGTGTTACGAGAGGGTGAGAGAGAGGTGGAAGAGTGTTTATAGGAGGTGTGAGAGAGAGGTGGAAGGTGTTAGAGAGGGTTGAGAGAGAGGTGAAGTGTTAGAGAGCGGTAAGAGAGTGGAAGTGCTTAGAGAGGGTAATGAGAGGGGTGAAGTGTTAGAGAGGGTGAGACGAGAAGGTGGAGAACGGAGTGTTAGAGAGGGTGAGAGAGAGGTGAAGTGTTAGAGAGGGTGACGAGAGAGGTGGACAGTGTTTAGACGAGGAGGTGAGAGAGAGGTGGAAGTGTTTAGAGAGGAGTGAGAGAGAGGTGGAAGTGTTAGGAGAGGGTGAGAGAGAGTGGAAGTGTTTAGAGAGGGTGAGTTGAAGAGGGTGGAAGTGTTAGAGAGGGAGGGCGGTGGGGGTCCTGCTAGTACAACCTGGGTGACGGAGAGAGGTGGAAGGTGTTAGAGAGGGTGAGAGAGAGTGGAGTGTTAGAGAGGGTGCAGAGAGAGGTGGTAAGGTCTAGGGGTAAGAGAGGGGTGGAAGTGTTAGAGGAGGGTGAGAGAGGAGGTGGAAGTGTTAGAGAGCGGTGAGAGAGAGGTGCGAAGGTGTCGTAGAGAGGGTGAGAGGGAGAGGTGGGAAGTGTATAGAGAGGGATGGAGAGAGAGGTGGAAGTGTTTAGAAGGTGGAGGAGAGAGGGGAGAGTATTTAGAGAGGGTGAGGAGAGGTGGAAGGTGCGTTTAGAGAGGGGTAAGAGAGGGGCTGGAAGTCGTTGAGAGGGTGAGAGAGAAGAGGTGGAAGTGTTAGAGAGGCGTGAGAGAGAGGTGGAAGTGTTGAGAGGGTGACGAGAGAGTGGACAGTGTTAGATGAGGAGTGAGAGGACGAGGTGGAAGTGTTAGAGAGGGTGATGAGAGAGGTGGAAGTGTTAAGAAGAGGGTTGAGAGAGAGGTGGAAGTGTTAGAGAGAGGTAGTAGAGAGGTGTAAGGTGTTAAGAGAGGGAGAGGAGAGAGAGAGAGGTTGGAGAGTGTTAGAGAGGGTGAGAGAGAGGTGGGAAGTGATTAGAGAGGCGTAGGAGAGAGCGTGAAGTCTTCAGAGAGGTGAGAGAGAGGTGAAAGTAGTATAGGAGAAGGGTGAGGAGAAGGTTGAAGTGTATAGAGAGGGTGAGAGAGAGGTGGAAGTGTTAGAGAGGATGGAGAGAGAGGTGGAGCCCTGGGTGTTAGAGAGGGGGGAGAGAGAGCGTGGAAGTGTTAGAGAGGCGTGGAGAGAGGGTGGACCAGTCGTAGAGAGGGTGAGAGAGAGGTGGAAGTGTTAGAGAGGGTGAGAGAGAGGTGGAAGTGTTAGAGAGGGTGAGAGAGAGGTGAAGTGTTAGAGAGGGTGAGAGAGAGGTGGAGTGTAGAACGAGGGGTGGAGAGAGAGGTGGAAGTGTTAGAGAGGGGTAGAGGAGAGGTGGAAGTGTTAGAGAGGTAGAGGGGGTGGAGTGTAGAGAGGGGAGAGAGAGAGGGAAGGAGAGAGGGTGAGAGAAGGTGGAGTGTTAAGGGGTGAGAAGTAAGAGGTGGGAAGTGTTTAGAGAGGCGTGAGAGAGGTGGGAAGTGTTAGAGAGGGTGAGAGAGAGGTGGGAGGTTAGAGAGGTGATGATAGAGGTCCTGGATTAAGTGTTAGAGAGGGTGAGAGAGAGGTGGAAGTGTTAGAGAGGGTGAGAGAGAGGTGGAAGTGTTAGAGAGGGTGAGAGAGGGAGGGAGAGAGGGTGAGAGAGAGGTGGAAGTGTTCTCAGAGAGAGGTGAAGAGAGAGGGGTGAGTGTCTAGAGAGGGAGAAGAGAGAGGGTGGCAAGTGTTAGGAGAGGCGTGAGAGAGAGGTGGAAGTGTTAGAGAGGTGAGAGAGAGGTGGAAGTGTAGAGAGGGTGAGGAGAGAGGTGGAAGTTGTAGAGAGCGGTCGCTGAGAGATGAGAGGTGGAAGTGTTAGAAGGGTGAGAGAGAAGAGGTGGACAGTGTTAGCGAGGTGAGGAGAGAGGTGGAAGTGTGTGAGAGAGACGATGACCGAGAGCGGAGGGTGGAAGTGGTTTAGAGAGGGTGAGAGAGGGGTCGGTGTGTTAGATTAGGAGGGTGCAGGAGAGAGGTGGAAGTGTCTAGAGAGGGTGGAGAGAGGACGGTGGAAGTCGTTAGAGAATGGAGGAGAGAGGTGAAGTGTTTAGAGAGGGAGAGGGAGGTTGGAAGTGTTTTTAGAGAGGGGCGGTGAGAGAGAGGTGAGAGTGTTAGACGAGGGTGAGAGAGAGGTGGACAGTGTATAGGAGAGGGGTGGACGAGAGCTGAATGTCTAGGAGAGGTGTGAGAGAGAGGAGGGAGTGTCGAGAGGGCGGGACCATCTGGTGAGAGACGTGGATGCTAAGGTGGTTAGAACGAGAGCGCGTGGAGACGTAGAGGGGAAGGGTGATAAGAGAGGTAGGATGACCTGGAGAGAGAGGTCGTAGCTATAGAAAGGTGAGGGGAGGAGGGGGGAACGTCTAACCCGAGTGAGCAGAGAGGGAGCCGGCGGGACGAAGAATGGAGGGGGAGGTAACCACAGGGGGTAGCAGACGGGGAGGGACAGTGCGGAGACCGGAGGGGAGGGGTGCTAATGAGGAAAGTGGTGGCCGCAGCGAGAGAGGTGGACGGACCCGCAATCCGGAGAGAGGATGTATCGGAAGGCGAAGGAAAGGGCGGGAGCACGAGACTAGCGAGGGGAGAGCAGGGAGAGGGGACGGGGAGGGCGGGAGAGACAAGAAGCGAGGGTGGGGCGGCCGGCCTCGAAAAGAGGAAACAAAGAAGGCGCAAGCGCTACGCGCGGGCGAGGCGGGGGAGGGGGTATGAGAGGGAGAGAGACGGGGAGAGGGGCGCGAGGAGGGGGAGGTAGAAGAGGGGGAGGGGGAAGGCGGAGGGGGCGGAGAGGGAGGGCGGGCCGGCAGGAGTGGCAGGGGGGCCCAGGCGGACAGAGCAAGGCGAGAGAAGGGGAGCGGACGGGCGGAGGGGGAGAGAGCGGAGAGGGGGGAGGGAGGGCATCCGGCCAGGGGGGAGGAGGGCGGTAGGGGGGGCAGCCTGCCGCCGGAGGGGGGCAAACGACGGGAGGTGGAGAGGGGAGGGGTAGCAGAGGGCAGGGGCATTGGCGCGATAAGGGGGGGGGGTGGGGGGAGAAGGAGAGGGGAGGAGGGACACCGGGCGGGAGAGGCGGAAAGGCGGAGGTGGGCGAAGCCGGGGGGGGAGGGGGGGGCGAGGGAGCGAGCGGGAGCCAGGGGAAGAGGGGGGAGAAGGAACGGAGAGGGGCAGGACGGAGGGACAACAAGGAGAGGGGGAAGGAAAAGGGGGAAGAAAGGAGGCAGAGGGGGAAGGGGGAATGGGAAGGGAGGAGGAGGAGGGGGGAGGGAGAGAGGAGGAGGGGCGGAGGAGGGGAGGGGGGAGGGGCGGGGAAGGGGGTGTGCTGCTTTGTGTGTCACCTTCATTTCATTCTTTTGTTTTGTCTCTTCCTTTTCTTGTTCTTTGTCTTCTTCCTCTTCTTTTTCTTCTTCCTCGTCTTATTTTTCTTCTACTTCTTCTGCTTCTTCTTTTCGTTCTACTTCTCCTTTTTCCTCATTCTGTTTCCTTGTCATCTTTGTCATCAACTTATTCGTCGAGGGCCTTCCCTCTGTCGACCTCTATCTCAATGTAACAGCACTCCTTGTTATTGAGTTTTTGTCAGTTGTTGTCAGTATCGTACGCGTTCTACGAACATCGATCGGATGTACAATTCTCTGCGCCCTCGCTAACCTACGGTGGCGCCCCCTCGTTGCAGGCGTTCTCGCGTCTCATCCTCATCCTGCGTGCGCTGCACGTGAACAACGACCGGACGAAGGTGATCCTGAAGCCGGATAAGACGACGATCACGGAGCCGCACCACATCTGGCCGACGCTGGTCGACGAGGAGTGGATCAAGGTCGAGGTGCAGCTCAAGGACCTCATCCTCGCCGACTACGGCAAGAAAAACAAGTGAGCAGCCGGCGTGGCAGAGCGTGGGGGAGAGGGGGTTGGGAGGCGAGGAGTCAGTGAGGTGTGGTCGTGAATCTGATTTTATGTGATCTTGAACACGATTTTATACAGGACACGTGACATAATATAATAATATGTAATATATTAATTTAATATAAATCAATTATTTAATATTTTATTTTATTTACTATTATATATATGTATATATATATGCAATAATTATATACATACCATACCTCCCACCACACGCGTTCTTAAATATAATTTATGTACTATTAATATTATATATATGTGTGATAATAATAATATATTTATAATTAATCATATTTATTTAAATAATATTACTATTATACCACGGTTCGTAGCGGGTCTTCCAAAGTCTTATAAGTACTTATTTTGCCAACAATAAAATAAGGGCCCTTATTAGTACTTATTTTTGGTGAAATCTTAGAAAAGTACTTAATAGTCCTTATTTTTATATTAAAACTGTTCTCGACTTAGAGTAAGAATTGTTGTATATAATACGGAATAATTAAATCTGCTGTGCAATTGTGTATAGTGTACTTTAATAGTCGGTGATCTCTCAGAAATCGCGTAAAAAAGTCTTATTTTGGCCTCCAGAAAGGGTCTTATAAGTCATTAATTCAACATGTGTTTTACTACTATGAACCCTGTATACATATATAATAATAATAACACGCACCTCCCTTCCCCCTAGCGTGAACGTGGCGTCGCTGACGCAGTCCGAGATTCGAGACATCATCCTCGGCATGGAGATCTCCGCTCCCTCGGCGCAGCGGCAGCAGATCGCCGAGATCGAGAAGCAAACAAAAGAGCAGTCGCAGCTGACGGCGACGACGACGCGTACGGTGAACAAGCATGGCGACGAGATCATCACGTCGACGACGAGCAACTACGAGACGCAGACCTTCTCCTCGAAGACAGGTGAGAGAGGAGGGGGAGGAGGAGGGGGAGGGAGGGAGGGAGAGGAGGAGGGGGAGAGGAGGGAAGGGGGAAGGGAGGGAGGAGGAAGACGTACGAGTACAGAGTAACTACGAGACGGCAGACCTTCTCCTCGAAAGACAGGTGATGAGAGGGAAAAGGGGAGGGAGGAGGAGGGGGAGGAAGAAGGGAGGGGAAGGGAGGGGGAAGGGAGGGAGGAGAAGACTACAGAGGTATACTACGAGACGCAGACGCTTCTCCTCGAAGACAGGTGAGAGAGGGGAAAAGGAGGAGGGAGGAGGAGGGGGAGGGAGGGAGGGAGGGAGGGGAAGGGAGGCGAGGAGAAGACTACAGAGTAACTACGAGAGCGGGCAGGACGCTTCTCCTCGAAGACAGGTGAGAGGAGGGGAAGGAGGAGGGAAGGAGGAGGGGGGAGGGAGAGAGGAAGAGGAGGGAGGGGGAGGAAAGACAGAATATAGAGATGCTGATCACTTCTTCCTCGAAGGACGGGTGAGAGGAGGGAGGAGGAGGGGAGAGGAGGAGGAGGGGTGAAAGGGGAAGCCTAAGGGTGGAGAGAGAGAGGCAGCAAAGAGGGGCAGAGAGAGGCGTGCGAGAGAGAGAGAGAGAGAGAGAGAGAAAGAGAGAGAGAGTAGAGAGAGGAGAGAGAGAAAGAAGAGAGGGATAGTATAGAGAGAGAGAGAGAGAGAGAGAGAGAGAGAGAGAGAGAGAGAGAGGCAGCACAGAGGGCAGAGAGAGCGTGCGAGAGAGAAGAGAGAGAGAGAGAGAGAGAGAGAGAGAGAGAGAGAGACGAGAGAGGATGAGAGAGAGAGAGAGGGAGAGAGAGACGAGAGAGCGAGAGAGATGAGAGAGAGGAGAGAGAGAGAGAGATGAGAGAGAGAGAGAGAGAGAGAGAGAGAGAGAGAGAGAGAGAGAGATGAGAGAGAGAAAGGAATGAGAGACGAGAGAGAGAGAGAAGCAGAGAGAGAGAGAGAGAGAGAGAGAGAGAGCGTGGCGAGAAGAGAGAGAGGAGACGAGAGAGAGAAGAGAGAAGAGAGAGAGAGAGGAGAGAGAGGAGAGAGAGAGAGAGAGAGAGAGAGGATGAGCGAGAGAGGAGAGAGAGAGAGGACGAGAGAGACGAGAGAGAGAGAGAGATAGAGAGAGACGAGAGAGAGAGAGAGAGAGAGCGTGCGAGAGACGAGAGAGAGAGAGAGAGAGACGAGAGACAGAGATTTTAGATAGATAGATAGAGAGAGAGAGAGAGGCAAAGCAGAGGGCAGAGAGAGGCGTGCGAGAGAGAAGACAGAAGAGAAGAGGAGAGAGAGAGGGCAGAACAGAGGCAGAGAGAGCGTGCGAGAGAGAGAGAGAAAAAGAGCGAGAGAGCGAAGAGAGAAAGGAGAGAGCGAGAGAGCCCGAGAGAGAGAGGAGAGAGAGAGAGAGAAGTAGAGAGAGAGAGAGAGCAGAGAGGTGAGAGAGACGTGCGAAGAGAGACGCGAGAGGAGAGGAGACAGGAGAGACAGAGAGATAGATAGATTA